AAATTATTAAGTCCTGAAAGGTCTTGGTCAGATCATCAATGGGCTTTATGTGTTTTTGACGATGTAATAGAATTTGGTGGACCTGAATGTGCAAAATATCAAGAATATTTTTTACGACCAATGATACAATATGTATCAGATAAATCAGCAGAAGTAAGACAAGCAGCAGCTTATGGTTGTGGAGTTTTAGGACAATACGGAGGAGAAGCATTTGCTCAAGCATGTGCAGAAGCTTTACCTAGATTAATGGAAGTTATAAATGATCCAGAATCTAGATCACCTGAAAATGTCAATCCTACAGAAAATGCTATTTCTGCAGTAACAAAAATCCTTAAATATAATAATAAAGCAATCAATGTCGATGAAATACTTCCTCATTGGTAAGTTGATATTTATTAATCTTGATATGATACAAAATGATTTTTTTTGTTAGAGGACTCAAAAATTATATCTAATTCTCTAAAATATATATAATTTAGCGATTATGTAAAAATTAATGTTGAAGCAATTATGAATATACATATAAAGAAAAACAGGAGTATGTGATTGGTGATATCTCTTTGAGTCTTTTAGCGAATCATGTATTATATTAATTGTAAAAAAATTAGTAAAAAATTTATTTCTCCAGGCTCTCTTGGCTACCAGTGGTAGAAGATGAAGATGAAGCACCTTATGTTTATGGATATTTATGTGATTTAATTGAAGCAAATCACGTAGCAGTTTTAGGACCAAATAATTCGAATCTACCTCGATTAATAAGTTTTTTTGCAGAAGCATTTTATAAAGATGCCGTACCAACAGATAATCCTGTCATGGGTAGAATTCTTAGCATTGTTAGACAAATACAGGTATAAGTAAACAATGTATATTATATAAAATATATTTTTATTCTATTGCATATTTATGTTTTAAAAAATAATCTATTCTCTGTTTTAGAACAACGAGTCTATGTTCCAGGCATGCATAAATGCATTAACAGCAGATCAACAACAGGCACTGCATGAGGCACTTCGTGCACAGCCTACTAATTAGCCATTTGCTTTTACCTTCGATCTTTAATATTTTAATATAAAAGAAAAAAACATACACACACACATTTGCTTTAATAAAGCTTGTGGAGAAATCACAGATTTTAGGTAGCTATGGAACAATTGCGCCAGCCTAATTATGAAGAGAAATAATTGTATGTAACTATTTGATATAATTCATATATTTGTTGATTGTATTTCATTAGTAGATACAATAGTCATCCCATTTTTTACTATTTGGAATTGTTGCGAATTACATACCATAAAACTTGTACTTGTCATTACTTGATGAAGTGTGATATGTTAAACATAAATTTAGCAATATAAAATTTATTAAATTATATAAGTGAGTTCGCACTGACGAAATTTTTATAATTCATTATTTTTGCTTAATTTATAATGATAATACAATAAAATAATATTGCATTCATGAATTTATTTTTAACATAAAATTAAAACAAGACACATTTCCCGCCATTGCGAGCCGAACGATGCTTAGTGTCTATTTTTTTTCTTTCTCTCTTTTTTCTTTTTTAATGCTTTGTAAATTGCATAGTATTTGTAAACACTAACTCCAGCTTTGGAGTTTAGAATATTAAGAATGTTCATAGAATAATATTACATTTTTGTCATTGCGATCTCTTTGTCCCAATTATCCGCCTTCTGATACTACTTTTTTGGCAGAATAACAAAACTGCGAAAAATAGACTGGAAAAACACCAACTCATTGCTATCAAATGATGGCATAATATATTGTGATTTAGGTATTTTTATTATTAAATTTAGGTACAGTAAATGTTATTTAATAATATCGATAATATTACAGCGTTGAAGTTAGACGAAACTGTATACGAATGCCTTTTAAATGAAACGTAATGAACTGCAATGTAATGTGTAAAACATTTTATATTTTGATATATTAAATTATTTGTTAATTCTAATTCATCACATTGGATTACATTAGAACAAAAAGTATACATTTTCAGTTTGATATAAAGTATACTTAATCGTGTAATTTTACAGCTAATTTACATTGATTTATTACGCTTATTTAGCTGTAATTTTGCAATTTGTTATTGCGTAAAATAAAGTATAACAATGAAACCAAGATATATTACTGAAATAAGTTGAAAAGAATGCTGGGCATTACGTTTCTTCCGGTTATTGTGTAATGACAATGTGAATTAAGGACAGTGGCGTAAAAAAATGACTGAATGGAGTAACATTACAATTTCTTGTTCTTGTTGCTATTTATTTGTACACAATAATTATCATGATATTTACCATTGCAAGCGAATTTGCAATGGAAAATATTCCAGAAATAAAATCTGCGACTAGTTACAACAAAATCCTCCAAAAAATTTTTTTTTGTTACGACAAAAGAATATAACTAATGGTCGGACATTTATTTGTATGTATATATCAAAGTATATAAATATTAAAACTAAGTACGTAAAGTTGAATTACATAAATGTAATTATTGATAATTAGTAGGCACTGCCTCATTAATTATTTCATGAAGACTAAGATCTTGTGAAATAGATACAAGCAATGTGCGATTGTAAACATTTCAATTAAGAATTATTGAAGGACTGTTCGTGCGATGTATTGTGACAAAAAGATTTGTGAAAACAAAATCAATATGAAAAAAGTAAAATTATAATTCTTATAATTATATAGAGATTATTTTAAAGTTATTATTAATTAAAATAAATCTCAGCTTTTTAATTGATTGTTTTGCTTTACCTTTAAAATTATACATTTTATTCGTAATATTATAAATGAAATTTTTACAATGTAAGAAAGAATCATAATTATCGTTATATTACATTTAATTTTCGTTTATAAAAAAAAATATATTTAAATTATTACTTATTGATATATATTTAATCATATATATAATTTATTATATAAACTTATGAAATTACGATCAATTATATAAATACTTAAATTTAAATTTGAATATATCATAATATATATAAAAATAAAAGTAATGACAGTATATTTTCATTTAGAAGTTTTTATTTAGTTGAGTAGTTAAGTTTTTGTTTGTATACACTAAAAATAAATTAAAAATATATGCTACATGTCTTTTTTATGCGAAACATTTTGTTATATAGTATTTAACAATTGTATATCAATCGAAACATAAATGTTAAATATGCGTTCGATGAATTAATTACTGTAAAAAATATACAAAATGCGACTATTGAGCAATTTTCTCTTATGAGTTTATCAGATATTGCGTCAAAAATCTTCCGTAATTCATAATAAATATTTACTTTAATGATATTTTAATCTATTTTAAATAATTCGTTCATAATTACATTTCGTTTTTAATAAATCAGTTATGCCGTATTTCAGGCGTCACGTCATCAATTCAATTAACCGAAAATAAAATTTTTTTAGATTGAAATATTTTGTTTGTTATTACATATATAAGTATACATATTAAATTTATTATAGATGTTATCAGATAAATTACATATAATATAATTATGTATGGCTAAACAGAAAAAAGTTTATAACATAAAAATGATACATATTTAAATTATGCTAAAAAAATTTATTTTATACAATCATAAAAATGACAAAAAAAAATAATTTCTTAAATAAAAATTCTATCCTTTAATTATATCATAATGTAATAATAAAATTATATCAAAATAATAACAAAAAATTTAATTACCCTTGTAAAAAATTTCTATTTAAGAAAATTAAAACTATCGTTATTATTAAATTTATTATTACTACATAAATGAAAACTTTATTATAAAATAAAAAGATGAATATAAAATAACTGAAATGAATTTATCAAAAAATATGTTCAAAATATATAAATTTTCATTATTTTAATTCATTTTAATTATTTATGTGACCAAATTATATTTATTTATTATTGTTTATTGTTATATAACAGAATATAAAATATTTATTATTAATTATCATTATCATTCAAATTCAATACATTTCAATAATAATAAAATTATTTGTTATTTTTAATTTAAAAAATATATTAATAATTTGATAATTTTATAATATAATTATATGTAATGATATTATTCGTATATTCATATAAAATAATTTTAATAATTAATTTTATATGAAATACACACACAGCATATATATATATATATATATATATATATATATATTTGAAAGTATATGTACATTTGTGACTATGTGATAAGTATATAATATTATGATCATCCGATATTACGTCATCATTCCCCCTCCCTCCTTTAATTAACTCATAAAAACTCATTACTCATAAAAAATGTTTGGTGCACATATTTTATGCATTACAAGTAACATATCTGTTATGTGAAATTTATTTTTAATTGATTCTTATTATTAGTTTAGTTTCTTCAACAGTAGTGTGTAAGTGTAACAATCCGGTGTAACTATTGTCTTGAAAAAGTACGTTCTTTTAAAATCAAAAAGTATATTATTGTAGTTATTCTTTTTAAACTACACTTTAAACTACATTTTAAACGTAAAAAAATTATATTTTCATATTAATAAATATTTTATGTTTAACAAATTTTAATTATTTAATAAAAATTAAATAACTATATTTATAAATTACAATTTATTATTAATATTGCATAATATTTAATAAAATAAATTATTTGAAAAATAATTGAAAACTAATTTATTTTCTTTCCTTCTTTTTTCTTATAAATACTATTATTTAATATATATAATTAATTTGAATAATCTAAATAGATTTTAGAATATTTATGAATTTATAATATTTATAAATTTTTATTTTCGCAATAAAAATAAAAAAGGAAAGAATTTCAGAATAGAATATGATATTCTGATGTTTTTGTTTTTAATAACTATTAAAACCGCACTAGATTTAAATAAAGATATTTATATGGCTTCTTGCCCTCATTTGTAATTCTTATACTCTTTTAATATAGGACTCATGCATAGACGCTTTTTCATTTGTCTCGAGGTTCATAGTGCTATTATTTCGTCCCTGATAATATACTGAAAATGTGTAATACGTAGTATCCACAAGTGTTATAGCAGTTGTGTGTGTCAGTCGTGAAATAGTATTTTAAAATAACATAAAATGTGAAATTTCTCTAAAAATTTCCAAGAATTTGTTTTTTAAACTTTTCTATAAAAATCCGATAAATCAAATAATGAGTTCAATAAACTTCTAGCGGAACTCTGATTTTTCGTCATATCCTATTACTTATCTTTATAGTCAATCGTCGTGTATACAGAAATTAGGGCGTGAAAAGGTTCGTTTAGTTCAATTGGAATTTATAAAAATTTAAAAAGAAAGTACATATAAAATTAAAAAATATATGTAAAAATAAATTATAAAAAGCCGAGTGAACAAGTTACTTGAGATTATACATTATTATTAAATTTTAAATATTATATCTTTGATTGATTATATCTGGTTATATGATGTTTTCTGCATTCTTCTTTTTTTAACTATAAAACATATTTTAGCAACATGCTATTGTTTTACAAGGAATAAATATATAAAAAATTTTATTGAATCATAATATGTAATAACCAAACATGACTGGTTCACAAATAATTCGGCACATCTCTAATTGTTTCCTGGAGATTATACGATTATTCATGAATATTTTATAATCATAATGATTCGTAATCATAAAATTATAATAATGACATTGATCAATAATTTTAAGATAACTTGTGAAAACCAGGTAAACGTTCATCAATTTCTTGTATAGATTATAAATGAATATTATATGTAAATATATGTATAATTAAAATAGTATCTAGCTTTTAATATCTTAATTTAAATATTCTTAAAAATGTTTGCAATTTTTATTTTATTTTTTATTTTTTATGAAATAAATATAATTAATAAATATTATTAAAATTTATAATTTTAATAATACAAATTTAAAATTTTTATTTATTTTCTATTATATGTAATTCAAGTAAAAGATTATATATAATTTTTATTTTATATTTTATATATTTTGTATTATTTTTAATGATAAGACATTATACAAATAATTTAATTATCTATAATAATATAAATAACAATAACAATATCAATAATAACAATTTTAAATAATATTTTGTTTAATAGGTTTTTTATGGACCTAACATTGAAGCAGTAAAAAATGTCTAGAAAGCGTGCTAGAGAAGAAACTATGTTGAATTCTACATCATATTCAAATATTCAAAATGGAGAAGATGCATCTTGCTCCAGGGAAGATTCACCTATATATCCTGTAAGTAACATTTAATATAATAAATAAAATTTGTTATAAATTCATTAATATTATAAGTTGTTTATATTATTTTATCATTTGATATTTTATTAATTTAAAGCAGTATAAATATATATTTATTATGTTGAAAATTTGTATTAATATATATAATATATTTATATGAAGCATTGTTCATTTATTTTTTGATTTATCTATAAAGTTTATATATAAATTATATTATAATAATAGGGAATTATCTCTAATAATTCAAAGATAATATATCTGTAATTTCATGTATATTGTATCATTCATTTATATATCTAATTTCATAGAAGCAAAACTTTTTAATGATAATGATATAATATATGATGCAAGATCATAGCCATATCTAATGAAATATAATATTGCGAATACATAATTTCTTAAATAGTGTTGTTGAAATATTTGATGATAACTATATTAACATAGATTTTGCAACATATTTATGGCTTATATTATTATATGTAATCTAAATTTTTTTTTTATTAATATATAAAGAAGTTTTATATTTCAAAAAAATTTTATCTTCTCTAACTTGAAGATTTGTAAAAGCTAATTGAATTTAAAGAAATTTTATAGGTAGATTATTTGAAAATTTTTTTTTTTTTTTTTTATAAAAAAATAATTTTTTTTAATATTAACAGCTAGTGACAATGACTTGGAGAAGCAACAGGAATTCACATAATGAATCAGGTCAAATTTCACTGAAAAAGTATAATAGTGAAATTTCTATTTACCACAAAGAACTTCCAGTGAGTTTAATTTTTTTTTTAATAATTTTAATGCTGAAATATATAATATTTTTAATTTTTTAATCTTTTTATTTTAATTTTAAAAATAAATATAAATATTTTATTTTTTATATAATTAAAAGAAATATAATTTCACATAATTAAAATAAAGCAATTCTCAAAATTTATGAGGAAAAGGCTGTTATTATATCAATATTATATTTAAATATTAATTTTATATTTTAAATATTAATATTAAATATTAATATTATATTTAAATATAATTAATATTTTAAAAATAAAAATTTTTATGAAATCTATTATTTGTATATATGACAGATGATTTATATATATACTTTTTATCATACTATTTATATTAAATTTATTGCAGTCAATTTGCAAGGAAGCACCTTTTAGTGATGATCCAGAAGCACTTGCTGAAAGAAATGCCTGTGATTATAACATTCGCATTACATTAAAAATGGCAAAAAGTGGTAAAGGTTAGTATAATTAAAAATTAATTAGATATTATTTATCTAATTAATAGTTATTAAAAGCTTTTGAATGTTATATTAATAATATCAATAATTTTTGTAATAATTTAGCTCCTAGAAAAATCAGAGTCTATGCAGATGGTATTTATGATCTATTTCATCAAGGACATGCACGGCAACTTTTACAAGCAAAAAATATTTTCCCTAATGTATATCTTATTGTAGGAGGTAAAAAATAATTAATAAAATTAATAAAATAATTAATAAAATTCTAATTTTTTAATATATAGCATAAGTATTATATGATATTATTAAAAAATATTTTTATAGAAAATGAAGATATATAAAATATATAATTATTATATAATTATATAATCTCTTATATAAAATATATGTAATTTTTATAATTACAGTTTGTAATGATCAGTTAACACATAGTAAAAAAGGAAGAACAGTTATGACAGATGTTGAAAGATATGATGCAGTAAGACATTGTCGTTACGTAGATGAAGTGGTTAGAGATGCACCTTGGGAACTGGATGATGAATTTCTTATAAAACATAAAGTAAACTGAAATATATAATATTTTTTCTAAAACATTTATTAAATATTAATATTTAATTCTTGTGTTATTTTTAGATCGATTTTGTTGCTCATGATGATATACCTTATATGACAGATGATAGCACAGATGTTTATGCTGCCTTAAAGGCTAAAGGTATGTTTGTAGCTACACAAAGAACAGAAGGAGTATCAACATCCGATATTGTTGCAAGAATAGTTAAAGATTATGATATTTATGTAAGAAGAAATCTTGCGCGAGGCTATAGTGCAAAAGAACTTAATGTTTCTTTTCTCAATGTAAGTATCATAAATTAATGAGAAAAAGACATAAGTTGGTATACTATAACAATAAATAATTGTGATTTTTATTCCATTATAAATTTTTTTTAAACAATACTATTCTTAAGCAATGATATTTTATGATAAGATATGTTTTTGTAGGAAAAGAAATTTCGTTTACAAAATAAATTTGATGATTTAAAAGATAAAGGTAAAAGAGTAATGGAGAATATTGGTGAAAAACGTATGGATATGATTAGCAAATGGGAAGAAAAATCTCGAGATTTTATCGATGCTTTTCTACTTTTATTTGGAAGAGAAGGTAGATTGGTAAGTAGCATATTTTTAATTTCAATATTAATAATATCCTGTAGATTATCATTATAAAAGAATAATTAATATATTATTATTATTATTATTATATATTAATTAATATATTAATAATTTTTACAGTCAACAATTTGGAATGAAAGTAAAGGTCGTTTAATGCAAGCATTATCTCCTCCTGCAAGTCCAAAAAGAGATGGCAGTCCAAATGGCAGTAATAGCAGCAATAATGATGAAGATCAGACAAGGTACATCACAGCATTCGAGTCAATTGACTAATATGCAACACCACTTCATTCTGTACTGCTTCTATATGAAAACCTTCAATACTTCACACCACCCATTTGCAGCATGTTATGTTAGTATACAATTCCACTGTTATACATTAGATAAATTTTAAGCAGTAACACACAATTTAACCATTGCTTGTTGTAAAAAATGTGTTTCATTTTCTTTATCCTTTTTGTGTATATAATATATGTATAGTGCATAACATAGTATTGTCACAAAAATTTTCGTTTAAATATTTACAAAATACGAAAATGTTACTTATTTAATATTAATTCAAATTAATTGAATTAATATATATGATTTATGTTACAGTCCACCACCGAAAAAGACTGGCCGTTTTGAATATTCGCAGAGTAATTATTATTTAAGCGATGATTATAGCGACGATGAAGAAGAAAATTTGCACTCCAAATGATAACCTCTTTTTTCAAAATCACATTCATTTTGACCAAAAATATCGTGCAATCTCTTTAAAAATGTTTAAAAATAATTTTATGCATCTATGTGATTTATTAATATGGATTATAATGTTATGCTTAATAATTTTTTTATGCTATGATTTCATACTACATACGATATAAAATTATTTGTTGTAATAATTTCATTCAATCCAATCATGCATTATTATATATTAATTAGATTATATATATGCATGAACATTACAGAAGTCATATAGATTACTTAAGTCGTTATAACTATTCTTGAGAGTTTCATTATCATATCGTTATTTATATTATTAATAAGTTCCTAAAATCTGGTTTTGAATGATATTATTGTTCATTTTGAATTTCATACAAGAATTTCTAATAGTTAAACGCATATTTTCATTTATGCAAGAAAGTCTGTGGTTCAGATAATCAGTTAACAATATTTATTAATTTTCAATTTTTTTCTTACTAATTTTATATAACATTTTTTTACAAGTTACTTTATAATTAATAATTTATAATATATATTTGCAGTGAAAATATCTGCGTTAATATTAAATTATATTTTGATTTTTATAATAAATAGATGATTTAAATATATATGTATGTATATATATACATGTATATGTATATGTATATATATTTTTTTTCAATGATCCATTTTAAAAGTCATATTGAACACATTTAGAATTATGAAAAGTTTTTTTATGAAAAGTTATTTATGAAAAGTTAGTACATAAAATTAATATTTACTTATATTTTAAATATTGCATTATTGATAAAATTATATGAAAATATGAAGTAAACAAAAAATTTATCGAAGAATTTATCATTACTATGAATTTAATTTGAACTATGAAATTATTAGAAATTATTCAAAAATTTGTATTACAAAAAGTTGTATTACAAAAATTTTAATAGTATTGAAGAAATTTGAACAAATGTAATTTTATAAATGATTGTTCTTGTTTAATCTAGAGTATTTATAAAATATAAAAATTTTTAATTTATTTTTATTAGTAAATAATCATGTGTGTAGTAAAATTCTTAAATATGAATCAATAGAATTCAAAAAAAATGAATAAAAATCAAAATAAATAATAGAATTTTAATTTAAATAAATACACATCAAAATAAGAATCATTTTGAAGATGGTGCTTTTATTTGAATATATACAGATATAATAACCCTGGAATGGTACAACCATTTTTATACTTTGAAATTATAATGTAGTTTTATAATATTCTTGTATTACCGTATGATTACTAAAACATTTGAATGAAATATTTTTTTAATATATAAATAAAATATATGATAAAAATATTTATTTTTATTTTTATTGTAGCATTCAGAATAATGTAATTCTTAACGCTAGCAACTTTGTTAATAGCGTATAGTTCCAGGGATTAAAAAATATACATTAGATGAGTTTTAAATACAAAATTAAGATTTAACATATACATATTAAAAATTTGTAAAAAAAAAAAAAGAAAAGACATATAAATTTGTATACATTGAAGTGTTTTTGTTTCTTAAAATGTACCAATGGTGCCTGAGTTTAACATCTTTTATTTAACTATATATAAAGTAGTACATTTCTGTATGAAGCATGTCATAAAATTTTTAAAGTATATATGTTAATATATTTGCTTCCCAATGTAACTGATGCATAAATTAGTAACATGTAATAATACGTGATAAAATATAGTATTTTCGATATCTTTTTTAATGTATACATCCAAAAATATTTAGACACGCACAGTTTTATGATGAAATAAATTTATGTAATTTTAACAGTTTTCCTGTAAATTACACTCTAGGTTTTTAAAAACAAAAAAAATATCTACATTGTAAAAATTATATCTTAAATGCAAACACAAAATGTAGTAATGTTCCATATTATTTATGTAAGAGCAAATAAAAGCTGTTCAATGAAATATTATAAATCGGATTACTTTTTAATTATAATTGTAATGTATATACTATTAAATAATTTTTATTATTTCAATATAAATATTTTATAATATTTTATAATATTTTAAATATTTCATATTAAATATTTTTCTTATAAATAATTATTAATAGCTCAATTTTTAAGAAAATTTAATTAACAATTACGCATTACACTTATAATACATTTTGATTTATATGCAATTATATATATGTAACGTTATGAAATGATTTCAATTTGAAAATAATGTAGTAATTATAAAAATAACCATTGATTATTATTTATTATTATTTAAATATTTGATATTTATTTATAATATATATTTATTTTTTACATAAAATATAATTACTTAATTACTAATTATATTGTTTTTTTAAATTGTACATTTAAAAAAATAATATTGTTATCAATGCTACCATCCATTTAAATAAAAATTTAACCATGTATACTATGTCAAATCAAAAATAAATTAATCAAATCATAAATGAAAATTGTATATATGTATAATTATGTAGTATATATATATATATATATATATATATATATATTTATATTAATATATATTTTCTATATTTATATTAATTATTTGATTTTTTTATGGTTTAATTGTTTAGAAAAGATTAAAATCGAAACTTTTAATTTTTTAATTCTTTGCAATTATATAGTATAATAATTTAATAGTAATAAGAGTAGTAAGTAATTCATTATATTGTTATAAGTGCATTTTATATACAATATAAAATTTTTTATATTAAGACTTTATAAATTCATTTATAATTAAATTATAAAATTATTATTTTATATTGTTTAATGTTTAATGTTTATAAATAATTTAATGTAATTTAATGTTTGTAAATAATTCAGCATTTTTCTGAATTATATTTATATAATTTCAATATATTCACTTAACCTTTTTTACTTATATTAAAATTAATAATTAATTATTATCTTATTTTTTTTCAATAATAATATATATTTATTCATATTAATATATATTTATTTTATATATTTATTAATATATATCATTAATTAATTAATATATATTTATTTAGTCTTAAAAGCTATGTTTAAGAAATTAAATTTATTTTAGATTAGTACTTATTTAAATTAATGTAAATATTTTAAATATAAGTATATAATTTTAAATCTGCGAAATTTATATAATTTTTTATTATTTATACATTATACAATATATATAATTTATAAATAGTCATTAAAAGGATTATATATATTTATGTAATTTTCTGTAGAAAACGTTAATTATATTTTGTTGTCCTATATACTATAACGAGAAAATGAAACTCAAGATTACAACTTATATTTAAAATAGGTCGTATTTTTTAATATAATTTAATATAAAGCCAAGTTCATGCATAATAGCATATAGTATATATATTAGTATATATAGTATATATATTGTTGATAACTTCACGCCAATACTAGTTTCAACGACGCGTATCTTAGTAATCGTTTATGATAATTTTTAATATTTAAATTTATGAAATATTCTTATATTGTTTTTCATTATAAATTCTTTTTTTATACATATTTTTTTTAAATTTTATGCAAATCAATTTATACTATATTGAGATTTTATTTTAATCTCGATTTATCAATTTCTTTGTCAACGATAATGAATTTTTATATCTGTAATCTGAAGTGAGTGAAATTTATTGCAATCACATTATAGAAAAAAAAGAGAAATACAATCTTGGCAGTGAGTAATAAACGTGAGAAGAAGAATATTAAAAAAAAAAGAAAGACAGAGATAAGTACCAAATTTACGGTACTATTGGCAATTGCGTTTGTGTGTGTCTTTATGGCATTTGTGTCAAATTTAGTAGAAGTGTTAATTATACAACTACTATATTCATAATGGATTTTAAATAAATACTAATGTTAAAAAGAGTATCATTTAGTGCTAATATCCATGTATATATATTTAGATATATATATATACATATATATCGAAGAAATCTCATGCTGAAGAATTTATGAAAATAATACATCTAGGAAATCTGTTTAGAATTTGAACTTAAGTTTTGTCCATACAATTCAAGGGCGGTTTATGCTGCGCCATCAAGCTTTACTGTTTTTTTATTTTTCTGGGTCCTTCCTCTCGCTGAATTCGCCCATAGGAGGCGCTTTCAATGATCAGTACGAAGAAGAGCGTACGAGAAGAACGATGTTGTAACTAACGGCCAAAATGGAAGAGCAAAGCGTTCACAGCAGTATCAGTGATATAAATAGTGAAGAGGCAGTTAGAAGTGAACGTAAGTTCACTAACATTTTAATTTATAGCATTGTAATTAATAATTGATATATGTATGTAGTTAATTCATATGTATATCAGAGGTACTATTATGAACTAACCCTACTTCACTCTTTATCAAAACTCACGCGAAGATGCTCGTGTCTTATATCTGTCACTCTTTCTGATTCATAGATAAATCAAAATATCTTATTATTTATTTTTCTGTTATCTAATTTTATATTATATTTTAAATTTTACGCGGGAGGAATGTCAACAGTTTTTTACAAAATTGGCCTTGACTTATTCTCCAAAATTACGTCAGAAATGAACAATTTGTTAAATCGAAATTCCTTTATGAGCTTTCCTACAATTCGTTATATACTTGTTTTGAATTTACATTATCTTTAATATTTATCTTCATGTCATTTTAAGGTTAATTACATATGTGAATAAACTGCTGTCATCTAAGATAGTATTATTTACTATTACATTATTTCTGTCGAATATTATACAATTTTGTAAAATACCATATTTTTATTATATTTGCTAAACAAGATTTATTTAAATACTTCAAAATATATCATTTAAAAATATTTTCATGAGCTTATATTATTAATCAATAAATAATTAAAAAATAACCGAAAAATTTCATTTTTTATGGATTATATATTTTAAATTTTATATTATTTTTTATATCTTATATCTTTATTATTTTTTAGTTTATATTTTTTTAATTTGAGCAGTTTTTATATACAAAATTAAAATTTGGAAAAATTTTATTATTTAATTTAGAATTAATTATATTATGTATAAAATTTTTAATTTTATTTTAAAATTTATATTTATTAAATTCTTATTTTTTTAAAACTCTAATTATATTTTTTAAATATTTTTTATTATTAAATATTAAATAAATATAAAATTTATTTATATTATATTTTTATTAATTTAATGAATAATTATAAAATTTTTTTATTATTATAATCATTCCAAGTTATTTTTTTCAAATATTTATCTTTTTATTAAAAATTTGTAGTGCATACAAATACAAGCAATCTTTATTTTGAATTACTCATTATTTACATTTATATACATCTATTTATGAAGATATTTAAAATACAATAGTAAAGAATATTAGAGAACTGGTA